GGCCCTTACGCTTTCCAGGGAAGCGTTTATTCCACTGAGCCATCTCCCTGGCCCCTCTAATCTGCAGATTTTTGTATCCCACACCAAGCCTGCCTTCTCCTCCTCCTGCTTTTATTTTTATTTATTTATTTTTTGTTTTGTTTTGTTTTGGTGGTACTGGGGATTGAACTCATGGCCTGGAACTTGCCAGGCAAGCACTTATTCTACTGAGCTATCTCCCCAGCCCAAATGGCAGAAGGATTTTTTTTTTGGGGGGGGGGGCTCCAAATGCCTGCATCTTTTAGCCCTTTTAAATATTTATTTATTTATTTATTTATTTATTTATTTATTTTTGCGGAACTGGCGATTGAACTCAGGCCCTTGTGCTTGCCAGGCAAGCACTTATTCCACCGAGCCATCTTCCCGGCCCCCAATTTTATTTATTTTTGAGAGTCTCACTATGCAGTTCAGGCTGCCTCTTGTTCATGTTTGTAGTCCAGACTAGTCTTGAACTCCCATCAGACCTCCTGCCTCAACCTCCTGAATGCTGGGATTATAGGCGTGCACCACCATACCTGGTTCCGGGCCGGTAAGCAACCAGAGGGGGTTCTGTGGCTGGGCACAGTATGTGGAACTGGGATCCAAACTCAGGACCTAGGTGCCAAGTAGGTGCTTATACCTCTGAGCTACCTCGCTAGCCCTGAAAAAAATTTTAAATTTTGTTATTTTTTGAGATATGATCTCACTACTTTCTTAACCCAGGCTGGCCTTGAACCTGCGGCAATTCTCCAGCCTTAGCCTCCTAAATGCTGACTTTACATGTGTGTACCATCACATCTGTTTTGTTTATTTTGAGATAATGTCTAATTTCCTAAGTTGCCCACATTGGGCTTGAACGTGATATTTTCTGCCTCAGCCTCCCAAGAATCTAGAATTATAGGTGGGTGTCACCAGGTCTGGTTCTTCTCATTTTAAAATTTCTACAAGGTAGACTGGGGAGATAGCTCAGAGGTCTAAGTGCCTGTCTGGCAAGCACAAGGACCTGGCTTCAATCCCCATACCACATATGGGAGTGCTGTGCAGGCCAGGGAAACCAGGTGCCATGGTGCACACCTGAAATCCCAGCTGAGACAGAAGGATCATGAGTCTGAACTGTGTAGCAAAACCCTGTATCAAATAAATAAACAGGACCAGGGAGATAGCTCAGTAGAATAAGTGTATGCCCGGCAAGCACAAGGTCCTGAGTTCAATCCCCGGTACCGCAATCAATCAATCAATAAAAATTTAAAAAAAATTTTAAAAGTAAAATACAATTTCTACAAGGTGTGATAGTGCATGCCTATAACCCCACCACTCAGGAGACGGAGGTAGGATTGCTGTGAGCTGGAGACCACCTTGGGATACATAGTGAACTTGAGGCCAGCTATAAAGTGAAACTCTCAAAATGAAATAAAATTTCTATGGTACAGTCATGAATGCAGTAAAATAACTGAATAAAATTAGCACACAGAACAGGGCATGGCGGCACATGCCTGTAATCCCAGCACTTGGGAGACTGAGACAGGAGGATTGATGCAAGTTCTTTCCAGACCAGCCTGGGCTACAAAGTGAGCAGCTCAAAGCCAGCCTGAGCTGCATAGTGAGACACTCTCAAAAATAAAATAAGACAAAAATTAAAAAAGATTAGCACGCAGGATGTCCTAGGTTTCCTCCCCACACCAAAACATAAAAAGCCTGGCAGCCCACCAGCTGACACACCTGTCATTCCAGCTCCATGGAAGGCAGTCAGGAAGATGGCAAGTCTGAGCCTACCCTGGGAAACAACAATGTAGTGAGATTCTATCTCAAAAAAATAAAGGGTTGAGAATATAGCTCAGGAGCCCCTGGGTTCCATCCCCCCCAACTCGATTAAATCTGGTAAATGCAGGGGACTCTACCACAGCCTGTTTTCTTTTTACCAAAGAGCCCAGCACTCCCCTTACCAGTCCGCCAGTCACCCCAACTACCTTTCAACATCAACAGGAGCCAGCGAGAGGGGAGAACTGTTACAGAGGCCTGAGTGAGCGCTACCGACTTATTTGTGCAGCACTGGGGATTGGACCCAGGCCTGGGCACTGAGCTAGTGCCATCCTTTATTCTGAACAAGGGGAATCCTGCTGCGTCATCCAAGCTGGCTCCAGTTTACAACCCTGCGTCACTTTTACAAAATATCTCAGAGGCAAAGCAACAGAGCAGAGAGGTGAGCTGGGGCATCACTGCTCAGGTTCCAAGGAGGCAGCCAAATTGAAGACATGCAGCCCACAGCACAGGCTCAGGTTCATGGACTTCTGCCACAGAAGCCTTCTCAGGAGGCTCAGGAAGAGGCAGGAAGGGGTCACAGGCAGAACTTCAAAGATGTCTCCTGAAAGGAGCAGGAGCCCGAGAGAAAGAGGCCGAAGTGTAGTCAGATCTTCGAGACTGTATTTGGGTGTGGAACTGGAATCTGGGGACCTACTGAAGTTCCTGTTTACCAGAGAAGAACAGCCCACCCATAGGTAGATTTAGGCCCATTTTAGAGGAGAGACTTTTTCTTTTTTTGAAGATGAGTGACCTAAAATGTGTTGCTTAAAAACACGTTTTGAATGCTTTTATTTTTAAGGAGGAAAGATTTATTTAGCTCACAGTTTACAGAGGATTCAGTCCATATGAGCCAGCTCCAAGGCAGGGGGGCACACACAGGGGCGACAGCTCATGGTGGCAGGGGACAACAAAAGCAATGAGAGAACACACCTTATTTTGAATCTTTGCCTATTTCTCTCTCCCTCTTAAGGTCAGAGTGTTGCTCTTTACCTTACTAATTAAAGTATCTTTATGGGGCTTGGGGTGTGAGGGCCCCAGGAGAGGGGACACAAGCATGGGAGTATGGATCCAGACCACCTCGGTGACTCTGATTGTGGCAAGTTGCAGTCTAGTTAAAAGCAGGGATCTGGGGCCGGGGAGATGGCTCAGTAGGATAAGCGCTTGACTGGCAAATGAAAGAATCTGAGTTCAATCCCGGTTCCGGGGGAAAAAAAAAAAAAAAAGCAGGGATCAAACTCAGGACCTCACACTTGCCAGGTAGGTGCTTATGCTGCTGAGCTACCTCCCTGACCCTAAAAGCACAATTTTTTTTTTTTTTTTTTTTTTTTTTGCGGAACCAGGGATTGAACTCAGGCCTTTGCGCTTGCCAGGCAAGTGTTTATTCTACTGAGCTATCTCCCTGGTAAAAGCACAATTTTTAACAAATATTTTCTATATCTCCTTCCTATTTCTTCTACTCTGCCTCACAAGTAGAGGGAATAAGGGTAACCACTAAGAGGTCAAGAATTTCTTTTGGGAGGGCTAATGAGATAGCTCAGCAGACTAAGTGCCTGCTTAGGCAAGCCCAGGGTTTGGAGTTCTATCTCTGGCGCCACTTGAGGCACCAGCCCCACTCCTGGGTGCACTGAGCAGCCACCAAGATCGGTGTGGTGGGGCCAGGGAGATGGCTCAGTGGAATAAGTTCTTCCCTGGAAGCACAAGGGCCTGAGTTCAATCCCCAGTTCTGGGGGGGGGGGAAGATGGGTGTGGTGGCCCACACCTGTAATCCCAGCACTGGGGAAGCTGAGAACAGGAGGATCCCTATGAGCCCAAGCTGCGTAGTGAGACCCTGCACCAAACAGAACTTCTTTTGGGGTAATAAAGATGCTCTGAAATTTGAGAAATGACTGCACAATTCTGTGACTACACCAAACATCACTGAATTGTACATTTTGTTTTCAGTTCATTAATTTTTGCAGCAGTGGGGATTAAGCCCTAGGCCTTCACACTGAGTTACATCGCCATACTTTTTAAAAATTCTGACAGGGTGTCACTAAACTAAGTTGCCCAAATTGGGCTTGAATTTGTGATCCTCCAATTACAGGCTTGTGCCACCATGTTTGGCTATACAATGGAACTATACAATGGAAAAGGATGAGCATGGCTGGGTGTGGTGTATTCCTATATCCCCAGCTACTCGATCCTCCTAAGGTGGGAGGATCACAAGTGTTTAAAGCCAGCCTGTGCAATTTAGCAAGACTAAAAAAATTAAAAGGGATATATATATATATATATATTTCAGTGTTCCCTGGGTTCAACCTCCAGATATATATTCATTTAACTTTTAGTCTTTTTTTTTGTTTGTGTGTGTGTGTGTGTGGCCAGCTCAGCCCACCAGGGGGCGGGGCTGGCTGGCATGTGGTGCTGGGGGATCGAACCGTGGTCCCTGTGCTTTGCTAAGGCTTGTTCCAAGTAGGTGCTCTAGACCACTGAGCCATCTCACCAGCCCTTTTTTTTTTTTTTTGGTGGAACTGGGCATTGAACTCAGTCCCTTGTGCTTGCCAGGGAAGCGCTTATTCCATTGAGCCATCTCCCCAGCCCTCATTTAACTTTTTAAAAATGTTATCTTAATTGTTGATTTACTTTTTTATTGTATTTATTTATATATTTAGTACAGGTTCTACAGGGTCTCACTACATAGATCGGACTCACAGTGATCTTCCTGTTTTCAGCCTCCCAAGAGCTAGGATTACAGGTGTGGGCCCAGCGGCAGGGAACCAACCAGGTCCCTGTGTCTGACTAAGCAGACACTTTAACCTGCTAAGCTATCTGGCTGGCCCTGCTTTACTTTTTAAAAATGAAGTAGGACCGGGGCCTTTTGCCCTTAGAGCAAAATTCTTCAACGATGGTCCACGGGACAGCTGTGGTGATACATGCTTGCACAGAAGCCCAGCATGCTGGGAGACTGAGGCAAGAGGATCATAAGTTACTACAGAGCCCAGCCTGGGCCACTTAGGTGCACTAAACTATATTCCTAGACTCTTTTATCTTCTTTTGAAAGAGGGCCAAGGGGCCGGGGAGATGGCTCAGTGGAATAAGTGCTTCCCTGGCAAGTGCAAGGGCCTGAGTTCAATCCCGGGTTCCGCAAAAAAAAAAAAAAGAAAGAAAAGAAAAGAAAAGAAAAAAAGAAAGAGGGTCTCCCTAAGTAGCGAAGTTGCCCAGGCTAGGCTCAAGCTTGCGATCCTCCTGCCTCCCTCAGCCTGCCAGAGTGCTAGACAGGTTATGCTCCATCATGAGGCTTTTCTTCTCATAACCCTTAGCAGTGGTATCCTCTGACATGCCATGTCAAGTTAAGACCAGATCCTGTGCTCCATCCAGGCTTCATTACCTAGGCTGCAGATCCTCATACTCTTTCAAGCAATTCTGAGTCAGCACAGCCCGGAGGGAACAGACTGCCACACTCTGTACTCTTAAGGCCCTTTGGTCCCCGTTGGTTTCCCCTTAGAGGTATCCAACCTCTCCTATACAGTAAACAGCAGTCTTTCTTTGGTGCTTAGCCTAAAGGGCTGAGCCAGATTACACCCCTTAACCACATGGTTAATGCTAACAGCCTCTCACTCATGGAAGGGTATTTCTCTTTCCAAACAGATATGAGGCAATGAGGGACGGGGTTTGTATCATGTGGAGAAGATCCACCAGATGGAGCCAGGCATAATTTTTGTTTCCCTCGGTACTAGGGATTGAACCCAGGGCAGTTGCACTGAGCTATAGCCTTGGCCTTTTTTTATTATGAGATAGTCTCAGTAAATTGCTCAGGCTGGACTCAAATTTATGATCCTCCGCAGTCTTCCAGAGTCCTGGCTGCACAAAGTCAGTGTCAATGGATAGTACCTAAAGCACCATGTGACTCTGCTGCTTTGTGCAGTGTCATTGTTTAGCGCGAATAACTCCTGGGTGCTCAATAAACACATTCAGCAGCACTCCCAAGGTAGCTCTCTGACCAGGCACAATGGGGAAGAGCACTGGCAGAGACAGCCTGCCTTCCCCTGCCCTGGGATTCAGGCTAGCACAGCAGGGTAAAGGCTCCCCAGCCGGGAAGGAAGGAGGAGCGAGGACCAGAACTCTTCCTGCCCTCAGCCACTTCCCCAGTCCTTGAGGGAACAGAGTCCTAAAGGTTGCCTCAGTTTTCCAAATGATGGCTCGAATAGCTCACACCCTGCTCACCAACAGGTACCAGCCACTCCTCCCTGTACAGGCAGCAGCTTCCGGGGAGATGGTGAGGGGGAGGCAGAGAGGACTATGGTCTTTGGTCCCCTTTTCCATGATTACCCCCTGGAGTCCAGTAAACGAACTACTTGATCAATATGACAGGCAATGTGCCCGGTCCAGCCGGCCTGCAGAGGAAGGTGAGCTCGGGTGTGCAGAGCAGTGGATCTAGGCAGCTGGTTCTCGCTAGCGTGAGGCGTTCAGAGGCCCTTGTTAAAGTAGACATAAGGGGCACATTCTCCGTCTTTGGCCTTGACAGTGCCTTGGAGATCTGGTTCCAGACAAGAAACCGGCAATTCACTGAACAGAGGACAGAAAGGGTTCCGAGTGTGCCACCTGGACTATGCCGCAAGCTCCCCACAGCAGAGGCCAGCCCAGGTGCCACCTCCAAGTGCCTTCCTGATCCTCCCTGCTGAATTGCTACTGGCCTCTGTACCATCTTCCCTGTCACATCAGCCAGCTTCATTCTCTCTGAGTGTAAGTTCTTGGCTAAACTTTGATCTTCCCCATAAGACGATGGGCAAGGTGCTGGGACACAAATGACCAGTGTGCCAGAGGGGCAACAGCACCTTCTTGGCACATATCGGAGCCACACCTTATTCCTAGTGCCAGCAGCCCCATGGTAGTCTGACGTCCCTTGTCCCTTTGCCCCTACCCACGCCTTCTAGGATACATGAGGGAAGTGGACAGTTCTGCATCATTATGCTCTGAGGAACAAGAGCCAAAACAACCACCTGGCTCAATTTCAAGACTGGGGCCAGCCAGGGAAGACCTCCCTCATGGCCCTGCCAGCAGGACAGTCTCTGCGTGTCCCTGCAATCTCTAGGAAGGGGCAGCTTCACTCCTAACTTCTCTGCCCCTTGGCAATCTGACTGGTTTGCAATTTACCAGGGCAAAAGGGACCCAGGGTGCTGCCCTGCCATCCCATCTGCCTGCCAAGGATCAGGAAGCAGTGGCAGTGAGGTCAGTGAAACAAAGCAGGTGACAAACAGGCAATACCATGTCTGCGGGAAGAGCCCACATGCCACTGGAACCATGAAGAGAAGGCTGCAAGAAAGAAAAAAAATCAAGCCATTAATTAGGGACCTGTCCCTTCAGCCTCCCCACATGCCATCCCAGAGCCCCAGAAGGAGGGGAAGACGCCCACACCTGGCTGCCTTTCTAGCCAGCGCCCACCTCTGCATTCACCCTTCTTCACTGAGCACCAGGAGACCCACACTAGCATGGGGACAAAATCAGTGTCCCTCCACCCTTCACCCCACTGCACACCTATGTTCCAGCAGAGGAAGCCAAGGATGCAATCAGGGAGCTTGAGGAGCGGGCAGGCAGGTGCTACACCTCAGCTGCATTAGGCGAAGGCACAGCTCTCTGAGCCCAGGGCCAGCAGAACATGAGGCCACACTGGCCCATGGCGGCCTCCTACAGACGCCAAGGTGGCTGGGGTCCTTCCAGGTCTGACCAGGTGCTTGGCAGCCCCAGGCCAAGCTATGCCTCCCCTCCCCTCCCTTATCTCCTTTAAAAGCACTCAAGGCTTGAGGTCAGGGGAGGATACTATGATGTACCCCAGGTACCCTGAGCGTGGACATTTTTAAAGCTAAGAGAGGGCGCACTTGGCTCTGATGTGGCCCACACAAGAAGGTGGAGAGTGGGGCCCAGCCCCAGCCAGCCCAGGCCACCCAGGCCCTGTACTCACAAACAGCCAGACAGCACGACCTGCAGCGGCGCATGCAGCACCGTGGCTTTCTGCACAAAAACAAGTAAGAGACCCACGTGGGACTTGGGCCCCTGAGGGGACCCCATGCTTGCCCTGCCAAGGCCAGGCTTCTCAGGCTGCCAGAGGCCAGAGCACTGGCCCTGCAGCAAGGGAAGGGCACCCCGGCTCTTGGCAGGAGGAGGCCACAGGGATGGGCCTCTACTTAAAGAGATGAAGGTGATGGTGAGAGCAGCAGGGGAGGGTCGGGAGCCCCAGGAAGGATGGAGAAGGGCACTGCACTGACCTTCATAAAGTGCAGTTTCTCCAGCCTCTCCATGATGACCGGCAGCAAGACTGGAAGAGACCAGGGAGGTGCTGAGGGGAGGCTGGGGTTCCCAGGATGCCTTTTGGCTGCCAGGAAGTCACTAGGTGCTGTGCCCTCCTTCCCCAGTGGCTCCAGAAAATACTCGTCACTGAGAATGGAGACTACGTGGGCAAAGCCCTCCCAGCTGCTGCCCACCACCCCCAGGGAAACAGGCTTCACAGACCTCTCAGGGTACACACCTGTGCCACTAGGCCCAAGGCCACCTCCTATAAATTAAAACTATCTGAAGGATCACACAAACACATTTGTATCTCTCTCTGTAATAAGCAAAGTAGAGTCGGCAGCATATGCCCTCCACTGCTACCTTCCAGGGCCTCTTATTCCCGCAAATCAAGGAATGCTGTTTAATGAGTATTAGTTGAAAAGAAATAACTTTCTCCCTCAAATCTCTGATTAATTGATCTGGGAAATAGTATAGTTCACCTGGGATTGCAGCCTTCATGCACTCCCACTGGAGAAGCCTGACTCTGGAGGCTTGGGGCCCCACCACCCACCCAAGTGCTCCAGGGTCCCCATGATGGGGACTTCCCCATCTTACTCATGCCAGGAGCTGCCATGGTGATCCGGGAAATAACCACTTGGGTGATGCCTATGGCTGCCGCTCTCTGAGGACAGAAAGGAATACGTGTTGGGAATGACGCACTGCACACACCAATGCTGCACAGGAGGGCCAAGCCCATGACCTTCAGAACAGAAGGAAAGAAGCAGCCTAGTGGTGCACACCTGTAATCCTAGCACTCTGGGAGGCTGAGGCAAGAGGATCACAAGTTGAGCCCAGCCTGGGCAACTTTGTGACTCAGTGAGAATATAAATTCAAAACAGGGCTGGGGTTGTGGCTCAATACTAAGGCCCTGGGTATAACGCCTACCACCACACAACGACCAGCCAACAATGACTAACTAGTCAAGGGTCTGGGGACACAGCTTAGCATAAACACCTGGGCTCAAACTCCAGCAGTGAAAAAAGACAGAAGAGGGGTGTTCTCAACAGAAATGTAGGGAAACACTGGTGGGGAATGAGTGTGGAATCAGGTACTTGATCACTGAAAGGAGACAGGTCTCAGGAGGAATTCTCTCCTGCTATTCAAAGGAGGCCTCTGCTCACCCGGGAATGGCCGACCTCTGTGTCATTCTTGTCCTTCACGGAGATGCCCTGGATGAGTTCCCTAAACAGAAATCAGAGTTGCAATTTGAAAAGGGGTGCTGAGAGCCTCCAGGCTGTGCAACATCCCAGGGGCCATGGCCAGGGCCATCGTCTGGGAAGCCGCCCTGCAGCCTGGCCCTCTGACCTTCCTGTGGCACCTCAGAAGTGACCTGGGGCAGAGGCTAGGGGAGCTGGCTGGGGGCCCACACTGCCTCAGGTATAAGTGACCCTGAGCACAATGCTTAACCTTTCTCAAGCCTCAGTTCTCCTTGTCTGCAGGATAGGGAAAACCTTGGGACCCACTTCAGAGGATGTGGTGAGCACCACGTGAGATGCCAGACGAGAGTTCAGTCCAGCCTGGGCAGAGGGACCTCTCCCCAGACGGGAGCTACTCTGGCTGTTCTCAGGCCACCTCCTGACAAACCAAGAAGCTAGATGGCTTCAGTCATCTGCTGGGAAAGGGCTGGGTGGGGAAGGAGAGGAGCATTGTGCAGGCCTGCTATCTCAGAAGCTCTTGCTCTAGGGCTGCTAGAGCCCACTTTTGCTAGTGGCCTCCAGGGAACTGGACTCAGATGATAATGACAATGGCAGCAATACCCTGCTAACACTTACATGGCGTCCACCATGTGCACGTGCTGCCTGGGAGTTCTACACCTACTATGTCAGCAAAGCCTCAGGTAGATGTTTGTGCCCTGGGCCAGAAAGAAGTCGGAGCTGGGGTCAACTCACAGGCATGGTGCTGGCCTAGCCCGCATGAGGCTCTGGGCTCTGGCCCTAGCGCAGCCGAAAAAATGAGTGAAAGATGAAGCAAAATGGTGTTTCTCCTCTACTTTTCCTGCTGAAAAGATTAGACCTAGGTGCCTGGAAAACATCTATCCACACCCCTGGCTTCTCTCGAAGCTTCTCGGTTCCACTCCACCTTGAGGTGCCTCTCTGCCAACTGTCATTTAGAATACTATCCCCAGGTCTTTAGCAGGCAGAGGTCACAACTCAAGCACAGTTGCAATTAAGAGGGAAGGACCTAACCAGGTGTGGTGGTGCGCCCCTGTAATCCCCTCACCTAAAAGGCTGAGGCAGGAGGATCATCAGAATTCCAGACCAGCCTGTACTAAACAGTGAGTTCAAAGCTAGCCTGAGCTACATTGTGAGATTCTGTCTCAAAAATACAACAAAAAAGATAGGATCTAATATAAAAGCCAGGGGCTGGAGAGATGGCTCAGTGGTCTAAAGCACCTACTTGGAACAAGCTTGGCAAAGCATCAGGGACCGCGGTTCAATCCCCCAGCACCACAT